TATATATATATATATATATATATATATATATATATATATATATATATACATATTAAATAGGGTACCACCTCTGGTGCAAGAGTAGGGACCCATAGCCTCGGAGAAGAAAATAAAGAGTACTCAGAGAAGACCTTGTGGATCCTCACTGAACACTTTGATATTTTCTTCTCCCACCCCTATTCTTTTGGTATATGTGTATATTTATCAAACTTTATTTGAAAATGTCATTACACAAAAAAAGTTACAATATTGATTACATGCAGGGTACAAGGCTGCTTGTCACAAGTTGAACAGCTCCTCCAGCTCCTCAGATGGCGGGCAGGAACCGTGGATGCAGTGAGCATTTCCTCTCTGGATTGCCACACCAAGGCGCTGAAAAAGAAAACTGGCAGCTCTAGGGTCTCTAGTTGTTTCGATTAACTTAGACCCCAACTCCTTCAAAAAGCTAGCAGCACTTTTACCCCAGCTACCAAGTGTCTCTGAGGCAATGGGGACAAAATTGTAGTGGTGCTCAAGGTCTCTGTATTTACGTGACTTGGCCACTTCCCGGTGATTGGCAGCTCCTCCTGCTTGTGTAGCACTGAAGTCAACATAGGTATTGGCTAAAGTTGAAACGCAAGTGTAGTCCCACACCAACTGTCTACCATTCTTCCAGGGGTTCACATATATATATATATATATATATATATATATATATATATATATATATATATATATATATATATATATAATATATATATATATGTATGTAATTGTTCACATCTCTTAGGAATATATTATAGTAAACTTGTGATAATTACGTGGGCTGATCAAGGCATTAAATCTTTAGGAAAAGGTCAATAATTGCTGCCTGAGCACTGGGGTAAATGTGTAAAAACTGCACATTTGTTTAAAATAATCTTAATAATACACTAATTTACTTATTGCTCACATGTGTAAATTCTTTGCCTTTGTGGCCCTGTTGGGTGGACGTGATCAATAACATTATTTCTTCAGGAGTTAAACCGATACTTTAATCTGTATTTATAAGAAGAGGGGGAAGGGAACTATCAGGGGAGGAAAGCATCAAGCCATTACGACTTTATATCAATGGAAAGGGGTCAGGATAAGGATTTGGGATGGGACGGAGGGGTGAGGGGAGGAATGGTGCCCGACCACTTGGACAGTCGGGGATTGAACGCCGACCTGCATGAAGCGAGACCATTGCTCTACCCTCCAGCCCAGGCTGTTACTATAGGAGAGAATGTCTGTCTGTATCTGACACTTATTGCTCTAGCCTAGAAAAGTTTGCGTGTTGATTTGTTATTTCATGGCGAGTGTCATAGGGTGCTTGGGGTTGACCCCCAATGCCCCTCTTTTAAGTAGGTATGGCTCCTATTGTGATAAAATATGATTCTTGAAATGTGGGATTAGTTGACCAGAGAGTGTTAATGGAATTTCGATCTGTTATTGACAATAGATCAATGGCGAAAGTCTTGATTTAACGTTACTCGAGCACATTGTCCTACTGGAAGATAGAAGTGAAGGGGAGGAGTAAGAGAATTGGAAATAGAGAGAATGAGAAGAAGGAAAGGACAGAGAGAGAGAGAGAGAGATAGAGAGAGAGAGAGAGAGAGAGAGAGAGAGAGAGAGAGAGAGAGAGAGAGAGAGAGAGAGAGAGATCAGTAAATGAGAAATGGAGGATGAACGAAACAGCGAAAGCGAGAGAATGGTAAGAGGAGAGAATGGAAGGGAGAGAGGAAGAGAGTGAGGGAGGGAGAGAACATGGTCGGGGAGAGAGAGCGATGGGGTGACTTTGACCATCTTGGTGAAGATGTTTCAGTCATGAGGCGAGGTGGGGGAGGGTGTCTGTCTGTGTGTGTAGGGGTGATGGGGGAGGGTGTCTGTCTGTGTGTGTAGGGGTGATGGGGGAGGGTGTCTGTCTGTGTGTGTAGGGGTGATGGGGGAGGGTGTGTGTGTGTGTGTGTAGGGGTGATGGGGGAGGGTGTGTGTGTGTGTGTAGGGGTGATGGGGGAGGGTGTCTCTGTGTGTGTAGGGGTGATGGGGGAGGGTGTGTGTGTGTGTGTGTGTAGGGGTGATGGGGGAGGGTGCATGTTGGAGGAGATGGGGGAGGGTGTGTGTGTGTGTAGGGGGGGGGGGGAGATTCGGAGGGTTGATGTGGAGGGAGACATTGGAGGGGGGGTGTGTGGGTGAGGCCTGGGCACCGTGGCGACCCGGGCACTGCCGGCTAACCTCCTTGCAAATATTCGAAATCATCATGTTGAGGCGTAGACAACGTCAAAGGTGAAGAGATGCTCCATTCAGAGGCAGTGAGAAAAACCAATTGGAGTAATGAGGTGACTCGAACCGGCGATCAAGTTACTCCCAGTAGCACACCTTACCCCCTGCACCATGACTTGGGGAAAACGTTATACAACCTGGGGGAGTCCACTGAATCCACAGGAAGTCTGGAGGCTTCCACTGAAGCCTCTGTCCTAACATCCAGTCTTCCTGTGGAGTCTATGGAACCCGAAGTTGCATAACGAATCCAAGTCGAAGTGCGATTTGTTTGTGTCAATTAACAACAATATTCTCAGGTCAAAGGTCATCAGGAACCAGCGGTGTCACATTTTTCAAGCGAAACACAAGAAAATTTCGTGTATGTGTGTGCGTGTGTGTGTGTGTGTGTGTGTGTGTGTGTGTGCGCGCGCGCGCGCGCGTGTGTGTATGTGCATTTTAATCGATTTAACTTCTCATCTTTATTATTTAGACCCGAGCAACGCTGCGACAGATCCCAGCACGGGATGGTGGAAGTGAAATGATCCCTCATTTCCGCTTCAATTCTTAATCCATGGTAATTAGCGGTCGGAATCTCGACGAAGCTCAGTCATTAGCATACATTAACATATGACTAGGTGAGCTGGCGGGAAATGATGGATGGTATCGGAATGATATACACTGAAAACATAATTTTTTTTTAACCTACAAAATGCGTGATGGAGACTGAGCGACTTTATGATTTTATTTGGATTTGCTGTTACCTTTACACAAGAGAAAGAGAGTGGCATGATATGTATGTCATGATTATATATATATATATATATATATATATATATATATATATATATATATATATATATATATATATATATATATACACACTAAGGGGTACCAATTGAGGGCAATTGTAAAGGCCCATAGCCTCGAAGAAGAAAATAAAGAGAATTCAGAGAAGATTCTCTGTGGATTCTTGTGGATTCTCACCGAACACTTTAATATTTTCTTTATTTATCATCTTTATTTTGTTTATTACTTTTTGTTAGAGTTTACAGTAAACACACAGATATAACAATCACTGTTCAGAGACTTCATCCAACTCCTCGGAGGTTGGGTGCGTGCCCAAGATACAGCAAGCATTTCCTCTCTCTGGATCGCGACACTGAGGCGCTGGAACACTAAACTAACCGCTCTTAGGTTTCTAGTTTGCATAAATAGTTCCTCACCCACCTCCTTTAGGAACTGAAATGCACATTTACCCCAGGCACCCAGGGTCTCAGAGCCTATCGGCACGAACCTGTAACTGTCTGAAAACCCAACATAATTTATTAATATTAAATACAATAACTGATATAGCTGTGATATATATATATAGGGTTCCTGCTTTACAGCAAGTGCCCTTTGACAGGTGTGGAAGAGGAAGCAGTACAGCTGCTCGGTTACACCAGTACATGGGTAGTGATGCGAGTTTCAAGCTCGAGGATTATTTGGTGTCATCATCCTTGTTTATGCCTGGTGGACTAAGCTTGCTGTACAATAAGACCTCCAAAATTTAATTATTAATATATGTAGTTTAATACTGTAGTTTGAATGGCTAGGTTATCTTGAGGTTATCTTGAGATGATTTCGGGGCTTTTTAGTGTCCCCGCGGCCCGGTCCTCGACCAGGCCTCCACCCCCAGGAAGCAGCCCGTGACAGCTGACTAACTCCCAGGTACCTATTTTACTGCTAGGTAACAGGGGCTCGGCTCCCAAAGGCTCGGGCTCGGGAAGCTCAAGCTCTATCAACTGGGCTACGAATAGTCTTAATAAGGAAAGTTTCTAGAAAAAATAATAAGTAATAACTTAATAAGAAAAATAATTTTATTCAGTACAGTGTTGACTAGTAGCTAATTATTAAGATGTTTTATTGCTCCTGAGAAGCCCACACAACACAAGTACTGAAAACAAGTACAAGTCAGAGCACAGTTTGGAAGAGGAAAGTCTTTGCCAACAATATGAACTATGAGAAATGGAAATAATTTATAACGATATAATTTATGACTGCACCAGCTCAAGATAAAGACAGATGGCTAAGATATTGGTGGTGTACAATGGCCAGTTATGTTTGAGATCATGTTATACCCTAGGACCAGCTCCAGCCACTTGGGCTGGACAGTAGAGCGACGGTCTCGCGTCATGCAGGCCGACATTCAATCCCCGACCGTCCAAGTGGTTGGGCAACATTCCTTCCCCCAGTCTCGTCCCAAATCCTTATCCTGACCCCCTTCCCAGGGCTATATAGTCGTAATGACTTGGTACTTTCCCCTGATAGTTCCCTTCCTTTCCAGAACAAACTGACATGTTACACTGCAGATGATGAGTCACAATAACGTGGCTGAAAAATGTTGACCAAACCACACACTAGAAATTGAAGAGACTACGCCATTTCTGTCCATTCTGGACCATTATCGAGTCGATTGCGAGACGAAAGTCGTCGTCTCTCCAATTTCTAGTGTGTGGTTTGGCCAACATGTCAACTTGCAAGCCAGATAAGCAAATGACTACACCACCTTGGTTGAACTAATTACTTCTTACTACTGTAATAGGAAAAGATAAGTAATTACTGTAGGTAATATACAATTTAATAGAACTCTTCATTACTGTACTAATATACTCCTCACTGTTTTACTCTAGTGTTGCTCATGTAGCACACTGCACTTGTTCTAGGTTAAAACACAGCAACTTACTTAGTGTTTTAATAAAATAAAAACCAAGTTTAACCCAGCCAAATGCACTACATACATGTGAACACATCTTAATGACAACTCATATTATGCCCCACAACATCTAACTCATATACGGTACTTTCTAAAATGTCCTGTTCCATACATCAGTATTTCAGTATTTCTAGAATAGGGAGGCTTCCATGCGTGGATCGTTGGGGTAGCACGATCGCGTGTCCTCTGCCTCCCCACACAGCATGCAGCTCATTTCATAATATTGATAGTCATCTTCAACCCAGAAGCGGTGCCCATGAGTGGCAATCACATGATTACAATTCCCACAAATATGGTCATATTCAATAACTTCTTGTGGTGAATCCAGAGCATTTGAGGTGGTCCTGTTGACCACACTGAGTGTATCCTTGTGGCCGCAGCCTTGGCACCCTTGCAGATTTGCCAAGTATGTCCCAGTGTCCAGACAGATTGTACCCCTGTCTGGATATTCTTCTTTAACACACTCCTGGCACATCCTCACGTCTTACATAATTGCAACACGTTGTGTAATCCGGACACAAGAGTGCTGCCAGAGACACACACAGCCAGGGGAGACACAAGAGTGAGAGAGTGATATGCAGCCACAAGAGTGGCTGCATATATATAAATTTAATATAACCCCCCCCCCCCCCACTCCCTAATGTGCAAGGAGTCGATTTGTGCGAATATTGTAGAAATACAGTCCGCTAACCATCATACAAATTGCTATCGAAGTATATAAATTAATGTAAATATAAACACTATATAAATTCATATAAATTAAATAAATATAAATCTCACGAGCCGGTTCTCCACAGTAACAACGTTCTAGGTCCCTGTACTTGTTAATTGTCTGGGTATTCCTGAAGGTGGCCGCCCCGCCTCCCTCAGCTGTGCTGTAAGGTAGATAGGTATCAACCAATGCAGACACACACACGTGTAGCCCCATACGACCTGTTCATCTTCCCTCCAAGGCTGCAGGGTGGCTACATCTGAGCGTTAGTGATTGTTGTCAGGTCTGCACAACTGAGGTTCTCTTTGTGCTGGACACTGTTATGACCCCATGTAACCTGGGTGGAACGAGTCTACCCTGTGAGAGTTATTCCGGTCTTGTGATTAAGGGGGCAGAGAAAGAAAATATATAATAAACGTCTGTGAGTAATTTAAGAATACTAGCAGAGGATGAGTGTCTGGTAATAGGTGACATGAGATGATGTGTCGATACGCTGGATAACTTGACCTTACTTGAGTCACAGCAGTTGCCAGAGGATGCAACCCCGCTCTGGATGCAACCCCGCTCTGGATGCAACCCCGCTCTGGATGCAACCCCGCCCAAGATGCAACCCCGCTCTGGATGCAACCCCGCCCAAGATGCAACCCCGCCCAAGATGCAACCCCGCCCAAGATGCAACCCCGCCCAAGATGCAACCCCGCCCAAGATGCAACCCCGCTCTGGATGCAACCCCGCCCAAGATGCAACCCCGCTCTGGATGCAACCCCGCCCAAGATGCAATCCCGCTCTGGATGCAACCCGCCCAAGATGCAACCCCGCTCTGGATGCAACCCCGCCAAGATGCAACCCCGCTCTGGATGCAACCCCGCCCAAGATGCAACCCCGCTCTGGATGCATCCCCGCTCAGGATGCAACCCCGCTCAGGATGCAACCCCGCCCAAGATGCAACCCCGCTCTGGATGCAACCCCGCCCAAGATGCAACCCCGCCCAAGATGCAACCCCGCTCTGGATGCAACCCCGCCCACGATGCAACCCCGCTCTGGATGCAACCCCGCCCAAGATGCAACCCCGCTCTGGATGCAACCCCGCCCAAGATGCAACCCGCCCAAGATGCAACCCCGCCCAAGATGCAACCCCGCCCAAGATGCAACCCCGCCCAAGATGCAACCCCGCTCTGGATGCAACCCCGCCCAAGATGCAACCCCGCTCTGGATGCAACCCCGCCCAAGATGCAACCCCGCTCTGGATGCAACCCCGCCCAAGATGCAACCCCGCCCAAGATGCAACCCCGCCCAAGATGCAACCCCGCCCAAGATGCAACCCCGCCCAAGATGCAACCCCGCTCTGGATGCAACCCCGCCCAAGATGCAATCCCGCTCTGGATGCAACCCCGCCCAAGATGCAACCCCGCTCTGGATGCAACCCCGCCCAAGATGCAACCCCGCTCTGGATGCAACCCCGCCCAAGATGCAACCCCGCTCTGGATGCAACCCCGCCCAAGATGCAACCCCGCTCTGGATGCAACCCCGCCCAAGATGCAACCCCGCTCTGGATGCAACCCCGCCCAAGATGCAACCCCGCCCAAGATGCAACCCCGCTCTGGATGCAACCCCGCCCAAGATGCAACCCCGCTCTGGATGCAACCCCGCCCAAGATGCAACCCCGCTCTGGATGCAACCCCGCCCAAGATGCAATCCCGCTCTGGATGCAACCCCGCCCAAGATGCAACCCCGCTCTGGATGCAACCCCGCCCAAGATGCAACCCCGCTCTGGATGCAACCCCGCCCAAGATGCAACCCCGCTCTGGATGCAACCCCGCCCAAGATGCAACCCCGCTCTGGATGCAACCCCGCCCAAGATGCAACCCCGCTCTGGATGCAACCCCGCCCAAGATGCAACCCCGCCCAAGATGCAACCCCGCGCTGGATGCAACCCCGCCCAAGATGCAACCCCGCTCTGGATGCAACCCCGCCCAAGATGCAACCCCGCTCTGGATGCAACCCCGCCCAAGATGCAACCCCGCTCTGGATGCAACCCCGCCCAAGATGCAACCCGCTCTGGATGCAACCCCGCCCAAGATGCAACCCCGCTCTGGATGCAACCCCGCCCAACCCCGCTCTGGATGCAACCCCGCCCAAGATGCAACCCGCTCTGGATGCAACCCCGCCCAAGATGCAACCCCGCTCTGGATGCAACCCCGCCCAAGATGCAACCCCGCCCAAGATGCAACCCCGCTCAAGATGCAACCCCGCACAAGATGCAACCCCGCTCTGGATGCAACCCCGCTCTGGATGCAACCCCGCTCTGGATGCAACCCCGCTCTGGATGCAACCCCGCTCTGGATGCAACCCCGCTCTGGATGCAACCCCGCTCTGGATGCAACCCCGCCCAAGATGCAACCCCGCCCAAGATGCAACCCCGCCCAAGATGCAACCCCGCTCTGGATGCAACCCCGCCCAAGATGCAACCCCGCTCTGGATGCAACCCCGCTCTGGATGCAACCCCGCCCAAGATGCAACCCCGCTCTGGATGCAACCCCGCCCAAGATGCAACCCCGCTCTGGATGCAACCCCGCCCAAGATGCAACCCCGCAACCCCGCTCTGGATGCAACCCCGCCCAAGATGCAACCCCGCTCTGGATGCAACCCCGCTCTGGATGCAACCCCGCCCAAGATGCAACCCCGCCCAAGATGCAACCCCGCAACCCCGCTCTGGATGCAACCCCGCCCAAGATGCAACCCCGCCCAAGATGCAACCCCGCTCTGGATGCAACCCCGCCCAAGATGCAACCCCGCTCTGGATGCAACCCCGCTCTGGATGCAACCCCGCCCAAGATGCAACCCCGCCCAAGATGCAACCCCGCTCTGGATGCAACCCCGCCCTGGATGCAACCCCGCCCTGGATGCAACCCCGCCCAAGATGCAACCCCGCCCAAGATGCAACCCCGCCCAAGATGCAACCCCGCTCTGGATGCAACCCCGCTCTGGATGCAACCCCGCTCTGGATGCAACCCCGCTCTGGATGCAACCCCGCTCTGGATGCAACCCCGCCCAAGATGCAACCCCGCTCTGGATGCAACCCCTCTGGATGCAACCCCGCCCAAGATGCAACCCCGCCCAAGATGCAACCCCGCTCTGGATGCAACCCCGCTCAAGATGCAACCCCGCTCTGGATGCAACCCCGCCCAAGATGCAACCCCGCTCTGGATGCAACCCCGCCCAAGATGCAACCCCGCTCTGGATGCAACCCCGCTCTGGATGCAACCCCGCTCTGGATGCAACCCCGCTCTGGATGCAACCCCGCTCTGGATGCAACCCCGCTCTGGATGCAACCCCGCCCAAGATGCAACCCCGCTCAAGATGCAACCCCGCTCTGGATGCAACCCCGCTCTGGATGCAACCCCGCTCTGGATGCAACCCCGCTCTGGATGCAACCCCGCTCTGGATGCAACCCCGCTCAAGATGCAACCCCGCTCAAGATGCAATGCAACCCCGCCCAAAATGCAACCCCGCCCTGGATGCAAACCCGCCCAAGATGCAACCCCGCCCAAGATGCAACCCCGCTCTGGATGCAACCCCGCCCAAGATGCAACCCCGCCCAAGATGCAACCCCGCTCTGGATGCAACCCCGCCCAAGATGCAACCCCGCTCTGGATGCAACCCCGCTCTGGATGCAACCCCGCTCTGGATGCAACCCCGCTCTGGATGCAACCCCGCTCTGGATGCAACCCGCCCCTCTCTGCTGCAACCCCGCTCTGGATGCAACCCCCCCCCCCGAAAATGCTGCAAACCAACCCTGGATGCAACCCCGCCCAAGATGCAACCCCGCCCAGATGCAACCCCGCCCAAGATGCAACCCCGCTCTGGATGCACCCCGCTCTGATGCAACCCCGCTCTGGATGCAACCCCGCTCTGGATGCAACCCGCCCAAGATGCAACCCCGCTCTGGATGCAACCCCGCCCAAGATGCAACCCCGCCCAAGATGCAACCCCGCTCTGGATGCAACCCCGCCCAAGATGCAACCCCGCTCTGGATGCAACCCCGCTCTGGATGCAACCCCGCTCTGGATGCAACCCCGCTCTGGATGCAACCCCGCCCAAGATGCAACCCCGCCCAAGAAGCAACCCCGCTCTGGATGCAACCCCGCCCAAGATGCAACCCCGCTCTGGATGCAACCCCGCTCTGGATGCAACCCCGCCCAAGATGCAACCCCCGCCCAAGATGCAACCCCGCTCTGGATGCAACCCCACTCTGGATGCAACCCCGCCCAAGATGCAACCCCGCCCAAGATGCAACCCCGCTCTGGATGCAACCCCGCCCAAGATGCAACCCCGCTCTGGATGCAACCCCGCCCAAGATGCAACCCCGCTTTGGATGCAACCCCGCTCTAAATGCAACCCCGCCTGGATGCAACCCCGCCCAAGATGCAACCCCGCCCAAGATGCAACCCCGCTCTGGATGCAACCCCGCCCAAGATGCAACCCCGCTCAAGATGCAACCCCGCTCAAGATGCATCTAACTGGAAGCTGACTAACTCCTGGGTACCAACTTACTGCTAGGTGAACATATGCATTAGGTTGAAAGGAAGTGTTCCCAACCATTTTTGTCCTGCCCGGGAATTCGCGATTGTGCGTCGGGAACGAACCCGCCTGTGCTACCGAGACCCCCCCCCCCCGCCCTCTATGTACTGTATAAATGAACAACTATACAGGAATAAAGGTTTAGAATTTGAACTTGAACTTGAATTAATATTGAACAATAATTACAGATGTCCCTCGTTGATACTCTCTAAATTTAGGCGAAAAGATGAAAATCACTATTATGTATTCAGCCTTTATGTTGGCATAGTCC